TACACCTTGTTCTATGCCCTCCGTGCCATTCGATACTAAACGTTTTACTCCAAAACTGACAAATTCTGATAAAGCGTGATTTTTTCTTTAATTTCCTCAGGGGATTTTTAAAATTTGATCTACAACACGAAATATTTATGTTTGAATAACAGTGTTTCGACACACATAAAATAGCAGACTCTCACCTACACTATCTTTTGATCAAATACTCTGTCTATAATGTGTTCTTTACAAATTCAAGAAATAGCATGCAGTATAGAGGCATTATAATTATGAAGTACTAAATGTAATCTTAAAGTTCTCAAATATCTGTAAATACGAAAAATGAACGATAATATATATTTTAATATCTGTACATAGTTGAGATAGTTCCATTTGTTCTAAATACACTTACAGTACATGGTTTTCTGGCGGGAAAACTTTGCACCTTTTTCACTAAAACGTTCTTTTTTCTCTGTGAAACTCATAAAAAAAACACTGTTAAATACAATAATGCCAAAATATCAAAGGACTTGCAATATAAATCCCTTTCATGAAAAATGGTCAATTAAAACATGCAGAATTTACCAAACTTCTTCTGAGAGATCAAGCTAATGAGCTAAAAATAAAACCAAAGTAGACAGGTATGTCTGTTGGAAGCATATTCACTCTTTCCAAAAAAATCCTTAGTCACTGGCATTACTTTTATTCACTCTTAGGTATTTTCATAGTTTAACATCACAAAAACACAATAAAAAATGGCCGGGGAATGGGATTTGAGCAAGACATAGTCTGGGCCGATGCCGATGGGAAAATGGGTTTAGCCCCCCCCCCCTCCCTCCCTTCAGAACCCTTGTATAAGGAGAACTGGTTTGGGGAGTTTCTGTAACAATACAGCATTTTGAGAAAAAAATTATTGAATCCAAGAGTCATATTATTAATAAAGTAAATAATAAACAAAATCTTGGGGGTGGTCTCCAACTCACACCGCAGGTGGTCCGCCACCCACATGGGACCTGGTGTCCCACCCACATTGCAGGTGGTCCCCTACCTTAGTCACAAAGCCATGTTGCCAACTAGTGCAAAAATGGATGTTCAACAGTTCAAGCCTAATTAAATATTTACTTTACCAATTAAAGTGCAGCACTACAATTTTTAGGTTATAGGGTTAAAAACATATTTTCATGAATACTTGAATTGAACATACTGTATGATATGCTATTTAGCTTGACACCAACACAGAAGAAAAATAGCTTGAAATGTTGCCAAGCCAAGAACCAGATGTAGATAGTCAACAAATCAACAGCCAAGAAAGTGTGACCTCGACTGTCACTGTGAGTTCACCTATAACACCAACTCAACAAATTTCTGATAACTCTGGTTTATACTAATATTGGTTTATACTAACGCTCCTTCGATACTTAAGCACCAGTGGATTATGTCAACTGGGCCGTTGCCAAGACTTTGCCTTTGGGGAGAGTGAGGTTAGATTTACCTGAATTTTTCCAACTCAACGTTTTTACCTGATTTTTTTTTACAACGTTTTTACCTGAAGTCTGCAGACCGTCGGAAATGGCATTTTTAGAGTCTTTCCTACCCAATATTTCAATATTCTAGTATTGCCTAACAATGAAGATAAGTATTGCTACTTACAGTTTAATGTGACCAGGAAAATTGAGAAAATTTTGGCAATTGTCCCCCTGCCACAACACGTCTCGTCGTCTTTCTGTTTCAGACTATAGAGCTCACTTTTTTATGCCCTGAGAATTGCCTGAAAATCTACTGGAAATCTACCTGAAATTGCTCATGAGCAATGTTAGGGGCGAGGGTGGGAGCACCCAATGACATGCAGTTATAAATGAATGAAATGAAACAGCATGCATGTACTTCATGTCATTGGGCTATATTTTGCAGTTGTTTAGTGGTTGTAATAAATAAATTTTGCAGTTACTTGATCTTGAATTACTAGAACTAAAAATAACTGCTAAAAAGACAAAGCCTATTGTCGTTGATCATTCACGAATAAAATGCTTTGTCTATTGCAGTCCCAAATAATAGCATCCCAGATTCTTGCAACTAGTGTGAACCAGGCTTTAAAAGTGTAATAATTGGTTCCAATTATTAATTGGTTTCTGGCTATTTACCACTCGAGATCTTGTCTCATAAGCATGGCTGGAATGCCTGGAAATTTCCTTTACAAATGCAAAAATATCACTCTAGTATCTACAAATGTTTTGGGATTTACAAATGTGCAAAGCATTTTGCAACCTCGTACCCAGGCACCCTGGGTACGAGGTTAAGCATAAATTAACGTGTCATCTACGCGACATAAATTAACGTGTCATCTAATTAACGCGAATTGCTTTCAGGTACTTCTAAAACTGATTAAATTAACGCGAATATGACAGTTTATGGTTAACAAGTTAATTTAAACACAACAGCAAAGGTTTAATATTATATAACTACCAATTAAAACAGTACGCGAGTAGATATATCAAAACTGTAAAACGGTTACAGTCATTTAAGCCAATGTACTGTATATAAAATATATAGTTCAGCTTAAGATTCAAATCAAATCAAATATATTTTTGCCACAAAAAATAACATTATAGAAAATATACAATTAAGGAATTATAAACGGCAAGGAAGCCCAAAAGAAACCAAAAGGCTTATAGAGTTTTGACTACCTTTTACATTCTGATAAGGCCGAAGCTCATTTAAAATATGAAATTAACACTACCGCTCTGACAATAAATAATTCATGCGTGAAAAAGACAGATATCAATAAGTTTCAAATACACAAAAGTAACATACACAAATCACCTACACAAGTAACATACACAGATATACATATACATACAAACGAACACATCTATATATTCACGATAAAATAATACTAAAGAGTAAATAGATATTCTTTTAATTTTTTTCTAAAACAAGAGATAGATGAAGCACCATAAATATCTCGGGGAAGCGAATTAAAGAGTTTTACACCTTGATAAATAACAGAAAACTGTCTAATTTTCGTTCGGCAGAATGGAACATAAAACAAATTTGAGTTACGAGTATTATAATGATGAACTTGTTTAACGCAAAGAAAGAAATGATTAAAGCTGGGAGATAACATCTCTTTATAATATAAGTACATAAACTTACCCAAATGAAATGAATATATCTTATCAAATGGAAAAATTTTTAGTTTCCTAAATATAGGTTCAGTGTGTGCATCATATGCCGATTTGTCTACAATTCTGATAATACGTTTCTCGAGCAACACAATGAAGTGAAGAGTGAAGAGGTGGACTGATGTTTTTGTTTCGAAGTTTAATATGCAATTTCTTGCCGATAATTGATGATCGGTGATTGGCTGTTATTTCAAGCCCTGAATTAACATTAATTAAATTAACACGAATTTTTAAATTCCGCGTTAATAAAGTACATTGTTAATTTCCGATAAAAAGGTATATAAAATGTATATTTAATTTAATCACCTGAGGCTAAAATAGCCAATTTCAATGTTTCGAAAGGTTTTTCTTGCAAATTTGGAGGCCCTGCCCCACCACTGAAAAAATGTGAATTTTCGAATCTAATTATAATACAGTAGATGAATTGCATGATTAAATCTAGCGAGTGGGGCGAGGTTACTGCATACTTATATTATATCTCTAGTTATAGAATTTAAAGAGAAGTTTATTGCTATGTTACAAGAGTGGAAGAGAGTGTTACCGGTGTTCTCGGTATTAGTCCCTTCGCTCTGCATGGCTTACAAAAAGGACGTCTTCTACAAAGGACGTCTTCCTCTTATTACTATAATATGCGAGGCTCTTCCACCAAACTCTTTTTGCCCAAACCTAAGACTGCATGAATATCTTAAAAAAGTCTTAGTTATACACTGCAAAAAATCCTTTTTCGCTTTGCGTAACTTTAACACATATATTTGAGTAAGTCGTACACATTACTCGAGGTTTGAGTAACTTTACGCAAATGAGTCGAGTGAATATCTTAACTCAAATGTTTGAGTAATGAATGTCGAGTACATTGCGTTATTTACGCAATCATTTTGAGTAAATTTACTCAAGTGAAATTTATCATGCGTAACAGTTTACTCAAACAGTTGCGTAAAATCATACTTGCGCATTATTCTGAGTAAAATGTTGATGTTGAGTAATGACAACGCAAATTGTGAGTAAATGCAAAATGATGATGAGTAAAGTTACTCAAATTATATTTACCACGCGTAACAGTACTCAAACAGTTGCGTAAAATCATATACTGACTTACTCGTAACGTTAGTCGTGAGGAAAGCCGATGTTGTATACTCAGACAAGTTGAATTGCCCACCAAATCAGTGCTTGCATCCATGTGACGATTTTATTGTTTGTTATTAATACTGTCAACTCACAAAATTTTGGTAGCGACGCGTTTTAAGTGCACTTAATTCTTAAATGGCCTTTGGGAAAGTTCAAAATCAAATTTTGTATGAAAGCCGCTTAGCGAATAAGATTAAACCTCAGTAGTAAAATTACAATGCGTTTATAATATATCATATGGCTGAAGACTGACAAGCGGGCTGATTCAAAGATGCCGCCGCAAGCTGTTTTTAAGAACTATCAAGACAACAAAAGTGTCCCGACAAAAGCGTCTCATCGTTTTACTGTTTTTTTTATAACCCTCAGTGAAATCACAGGTGAAATCAGATTTTAGATGACCATCTCTCGGCCAATGAAAACTCGCTGCGCGCGCGTGGCCACTGGCACTGTGACTGTGGCTTGGGTTCATATTACAGTTCACCACATGATAGCGTCATTTCGGTTGAGATTTGGTAAAACGCACTCACATACTCTAACAGTCGTAGCAGTAAATATCGAATACTATAATACGGAAGGCTTGGAATTCGTCAAGAATTGGTTGGTATAGAAAGAGGCTTCGAGAAGTACTGTGGCGCATTTGAAGGTAAATGTCAGTAAATTATAGTATAGTCGGTTTAGACTTTAGATTATATCAACAGTCGGCCAAGCAGAATGCGGCTTCGTCTTGGAGTTCCCGTAAAAGCTTTGGCGCAAGAGTTATCGCAACTTAAGGTAACTTAAAGCCGTTTAGCTTAATATATAATAAAAACACAGTCAAACTTGCAATGAACTACTGAGATTTGAGATGACACGCGTCGCCTAATTTTATACTAGCTGTCTTCGGCGTGTCGCACTGTCGCTGCTTGTCCTCTTGGCTTAGTATCGTGCGGTAATTGAAAATGTTGTTAGTTCGAATTATTAATTTTCATTGATATTTACCAAGTAGCAATTTTCCACAGTATGTGTTTCGATTTTATTTAGATTAATATTTAGTCCTAATCATGTGACCCGATGATATAAAATATATAAAAGCGCGATTATATAAAAGCGCGAGATAAAGCGCATTTTAATATGGTCTATGTCTGAAAATGCCGCTTTGGCTTGTATTTATATTGGTAATTAAACTGAAAAGAGTGCAATTAAGCGATTTGGTCTGAAATCAAACGCTTGATTACAAAATCGTAATTCAAAAGTCAACTCGCTTAGCCGCCGGGTCTAAAAACTCAAATTTTGCGCTAAATTTTGTGCTATTATTCCTAAAGGCTGATTGGTCGGTTTGGTTGAGTTCTTAAACCTGATTGGATGTATGAAAGAGGCGATTTATCCCCTGCAGAGCCTGCCAAGACTACCAACTTTCCAAGAGATATTGAGATAATCACTAATCAGATTGTAGGAAACAAAACACTATTGGTTTCAAAATGAATATACCATACAAATAGATATGAAATAAGTATATCATGTATGTAATCATCTTTGATGCATATATTGCAGTGCACCTGAAACATTTTGCGAAGAACTCCAATGATGGATTGTCATGCAGAAAGGAATCTATATAGCACATGCAATTTGGCAGGGGGTATTCTTTGCCACTTGTTCATGACCGGTGCGGAGTATAACCGTTGATCAAGTACATAGTCGCCAGGAGCAGTGTTTTGTAGAATGTGAAAATAATGCCTCTTTCGGAGGGTTGAGGGTGTTATTGTTTTCCGAATTGAAAAATGACTTTGATAGGAGATTGGCACCCCCCAACACTTGCACCCTCCTTTGCCAAAGCTAGGGGGTGCTCTCTCCATCGCTGCACCCCAACTCCAGTAAATCCATTCCTGTATATTCTAGGTACGATCTATACTGTATTTTATTTAATATGTGATTATCTATTATTTAGGAGGATCAGGATGTAGAAGCTTTTGCTTCAACACTGGCGTCACCTTTCCCAGTGATTGTTGTGAAAGGTGGCCTCGAAGGAATGCTGAGCTCCAGTATTGTGGCCGACCGACAAGCGCTCTTCGAAGTGGATGGCGGGATGATGGGTGCAACTATGGCGCTGTTTCCCACATATTACGTGTTTATGTATGAATACCCGGCTTCCTTGAACAATTTGTTTACGTATTTAGAAAAGTGCATTTTCCAAATCGCCGATGCACGGAAACTTCCAACGTCTGTTATTACGTTTGTCAATGCACTGGACTGCAACACGGAAAATTAATGAACACATCCTTAGTGTCACTAAAAATGCCGTATCTAGAGATATAACCTACTGTACTAACTACTTTATTCCGTAATATACTCTTTGTATCTCACTACTTGTACCTTGTGTGTTGTTTTTAATCTTGCGCGGGATTTACTGTCGATGCCTATCTATACTATAATTTCCTGCGTAAAGCCTTTGTTTTACGCAATCTATTTGAGTACAAGTTTACTCAAATGGATTGCGTAAAACTTATGTTTTACTCAAGGTGAGTAACGTATAGCTTTTACGCACGTTTTAGGTGTCACTGTGAACGCATTGCGTCTTACTCGAATTTTGAGTAAATTTTACTCAACCACCAGCGGTAAAGTTACTCAAATATTGTGTGTCACTGTGAACGCATTTTCCTACTCATGTTTTGAGTAACGTTTACGCAAGGATTTTTTGCAGTGTAGAGGGGCAAAATTGTGGAACAGCCTTTCAGATGAAGCAAGAAACAAACATTCTAGATCTCTTGCTTTATTTAATTCATGTATACGACACCTGGCCAATTAATTAATTACGTTAATTAAGAATCTTACATAGTACTAACATTAATTTAATATGTAAATAATTATATACTAGTTATATTTGTAAATGTATCGTTATTGTTGTTAACTGTAATGTAATGCATGACTATAATTTTGTAATAATTGTAATTTTTCTAACTATTTAAATCTACGCCCCCCCCGCCCCCCCCTTAGAAATCAGCTTTCGCTGTATGGGTTTAGCGTAGTCGAATAAAGTTTTACCTACCTTACCTATACCTACACCTGAAAAATAAACTAACAGAAAATGCGTTTCATTTGCGTTCCGTACGCGTTCTAATTTGCGTTCCGCTCGGACTTGAACGTGTTCATGATACGCGCCTGATGAAATCGGCAATCTCCGTAAATTGCCCCCATTTTCCTGAATTTTGGCGTTCCATCGCAAATGTAGCGCGAACACAGTGTTAGGTCATTTCTGTCTTTCTGAGCAGTACTGTATATGTGTTATTCTATTTACTTTGATATCATGGTTGTTTTTAAAGTATATATAGCCACTTTTTGTAACGATTGATGCAGTTATGATATGAATTACAGTATTCGCAATTAATTCGCTCAAGTTGTTTAAAGATTTTCAGTGATATTACTCTACCCTGAACTTTTTTTTAGTGGTACTGGTGCATGGCTCAAAACTGATTAGGAAGCTTGGTAACTGAAGAGAAAACAATGATATAATTCATCAGATGTTAACAGGTAATTTTTCTTTTAACTTCTTGTATTGCAGCAGCAGTTGTTTTGTTCAAAAAACGACTATTACCTCAGGCATGCGAGTAATGGCGAGTTAAGAAAGATTATAATATAGCATTTGTAAATTCTGAACGCTGATTGGCTAAGAGCCGTGTTGATATAACTCCATGTCAACACGGGAAATTTTCCGCCGCTTGTAACACGGAAATTTTTCTTATTCTTCGGGCTTTTGACATTGCTATATTATAAAACAAATATAAAACATTTTTCCGTATTGATATATAGTTATATCAACACTCGTGGAAGTTGGGAAAACTCGAAATTGTGTGAAAACACTCCGCCCTTCGGGCGTCGTGTTTCCACACAATTTCTCGTTTTCCCAATTTCCACTCGTGTTGATATAACTGTATATCAACACGGAAAATGTTTTATATTTGTTAAATATAACACAACTGTTAGACTATTACTCCATGAGAGTTAAGCGAGCTAAAGAAAACTCAAACCATGCACAGTTATATCCCAGGTAGCCAGCGCGGCCGGCTCTAATGTGCTAATTAGTGTGATTTTAATCACAGCCCACTTGGTTAATACTAAACTAGAAAATACATGCATGCAGAAACCCTCGCCTTGCTGACAAAACCATTGTATTTTCCAAACATGAAGTATCCAAAGTTGTTGTCATGGTAATAACACGATAATTTTTTAAGAATATTCTTATACAAATGAAAAATTGCCTAAAAATATCAATTTTAATTACAAAATTATCAATTTCCCAACATATATTTGTTAGGTATGTTATTATACGCAATATAAGCTTCAATTTAAGGTAAAATTCAACCACAAAAGCTTCGCAAAACGTTTTAAAACGTTCTTTATAAAACTAAATTGCCTGGCTTTAATTAAATGGCTTTATCGATAAACTTTGAGTTTGCAACAAAATGATTTCAAATTCTCGCATGCAAATAACTTTTCTTTCTTTTTAGTAAAAAAATTCAATATAATAAAAAAGGAATCAATATTAATAATACACTGAATTGACTGAAATTATATGCTGTCTTGTTTAGTTATTTCATATACGCAAAGGGCCAAAGGCCGTCGGGTTTTAAAGCAATTATAAAATCAATATTTAACACAAACTTACCTTCGTTAACGTCGGCTCCCTTCTTTTAGCCGATTCTTTCGCCGTTTCTATCTTGAAATTTACAAAATCTTGCAAAAATGCGAGTAAAATTGAAGTATATTTGCAAGAAATTTATCAATCATCAAATCTGTGATCAAATCAAGAAATGTTTGCTATTTCGCTGTCGTCATACAGTCGTTATGATGCAAACTTTAAATTGGACCAATCAGTGTCCGCTATTCATGACAGTCCGCCATATTTTTGAGATCAGTGAGGATGACCACCCACTCAACACCGTTGGTCACCCACGCCCGCGATACTTGATGAACTTTAGACTCCGCTAATGCTTTCGTTTCCCCGGGTGTAAATAGCCGGGGGGAATTAGTACCCTCGCACGGCGCTTCGCGCCGTCGGCTCGGGGACTAAATATGGAAACTTTATTAAATGTTTTTCTTTACATACATATACAATCGTAAATCTCTCTCATAAACGTAACTTACGGTTGGCTATTTGAATCACAATTATACTAAACTAAAATAACAGAACAAAGTGCATGCAATATATATATATATATATATATACAATGAGATAAGTCAAATTGTTAGTAAATCCGGATTTTCCCATTCCTTATTTCGGCAGCAAAAAATGTAATATGTAGTTCTAATAGCAATAGTCATCATTTTCCTAACGCAGTACATTTGGTGGTTTTTGTCAAGACCAATACTATCTAACATGTCTAAAAATGTATAACATTCTTCTGCAAAAATACCTAAAGAACTGATGGAGAGATTTATAAATTTAACTTGGTTAAAATTTTTACCTAGCTGTCTCAATAATTCTCTATATTTATCCTTCTTCCGTTTTACGTTGTTTTTGAGGTTTGTCTCATAACCAGTGGTGAGTTCAACCACATATAAGGAACCATTTGAGCACGCTAATAACAAATCTGGGCGATACGTATCACCAGTAAGTATTGAAGGACTTTTGAATCCATTTAGATCAGCGTAGAGAGTAGAACCGTCAACAGTTTGTAAAGTATGAGCAAGAAAGTTCAGGACTGAATTGTGTCTCATAATAATAATAATAATAATAATAATAATAATAATAATAATAATAATAATAATAATAATAATAATAATAATAATAATAATAATAGTAATAATAATAATAATAATAGTCTTTATTAAATATTCAGATACATCCGTCTGAGTTTACAATCGAAAGGTAATTGATCTAGATAGTTATATTTACAATGTATTATATTTACAATGTAAGTTAGGAAGCGTAAAAAGTTTTAAAAAGTTTTAAATACATTAAAGTCTAAATAAAGTTATACAGACAACGATTTATGAAGGACCTTTTGAATCTTTCTGTTCTCACTAGGGGGAGTTCATACTCATGCCTTCTAGGCCTAAGTAACCTACTTCTTTTTTCCGGCAGCAGTTCAAGCAATGCATTGTCCTCAGTTGATGTTATTTTGTTCCACAGTTTCTTATCTCTCTTATCACGTATTTTAATGTGTGTTCGTTTTGATATATAACCATTCTTATGTGCACGTTTAATGAATTTATCTATTTGGTTCAAATATTTACCGTCATATGCACAACCCCACAGCTCAATAGCAAAAGTGAATATCGACATAATTAGGCTATCAAACAGCAGATCTAATTGTTTAATTGATAGTCCATAGTATTTGCAAACTCTCTTAATGTACATTCTTCCACTTGCTTTTTTGAGCATTTCTTCGAAGTGCAAATCCCAGTTGGACGGATTATCTTGTAGAGTAACTCCTAAAAGCTTTAGCCATGTTTTTCGCTTAATTGAAGGGATAAGCTCAGGCAAAACTACAGAGGTGTGTCTGCGAACAACCATTTCGTACGTTTTTTCCAAGTTTAAGGGCATTCTATTCTTTTCCGCCCAATCCTGTAAACAGACAGCTTCAGATCGAGATGTGTCACCACTTTCGTTGCCAGGCACTCCTAACGTCAAATCATCAGCAAATTTGACTAACGCATTACTAGGATCAGTAGTTTTAATATCATCGACCATTATTGAGAAAAGAACTGGGCCTAAAACGGTACCTTGGGGAACACCACGATTAATATATAAATATTCTGTAACAATTCCATCAACCATTACTCTTTGTATTCTATTTTCGAGAAAGCTAATTATCCAGTTCACCACATACGGATTAATGGGCAACCTCGTACCCAGGGCTAGTCGCGAATTGAAGGCGGCGATGTGGCCCTGGTAAACGCTGGTCACGTGTCAGGCAAATACTCCAAGATTCTTGGAGTATTAGCCTGCGAGCGGGCTTTGTGGAAATAAAGACAGGGGGGCGACGAAAAGGTCACGAATGGAACTTGAATTGCCGCGGATTATTTATATTCTTTTATTTTTTGTTGTAATCTTTCTTCTTAATATGTTACGTTTATATATTACGTCGAATGTACATCAATCTTCTTTTATATCGCATCATGTAATTCGCCTAGGAGGCGATGTTTCGAATTTCGAAGCAGTGAAAATGGAGCCAATCTCGTATAAAAAGGTACAGTATATAGGAATTTGAAAATGTTTAGAAGTATTTCATTGTTACAAATTATTTAGCAGATTCCCATTATTTGTTACACTGTCTAGCTCTATGAAATATATATTTCGAAGGCTATTTACTGTAATATATTTTATACAGTATGTTAATATAGTTAGCTGAATTTGTACAATTGTAGTTAAATATTGTCAATATTGAGAAACACATGGCCAGACTATGGCCTATAATACTATACTCGGACTCTCAGTAAAGTTCTACTCTCACATGATTATTATTTACAATATTGATTTATCGCTGTGAGAAACGTGTTTACACTTTAATACAGTATTATTAAACTACATTTTACAGCAGTATTAACTTCAAATACTTTGTATTTACATTTACAGTAATGACCTGAAATTATTTAAATGAGCCATTTAATACTGTAACAACAGAGTGGCCAGGTTGACAAAGCTAAAATCTGATGAACCTAACCTGCTAGGATATTTCAATAGTCAAACATCAGTTTCAGCACTCCAGCTGGTCAGGGATTTTTAGGGAAAAGTTTTAGCACCCCATTGTAAAACCTGCCCCCGAATCTCAAAATTTCATTATTTTGTTCCCTTGCCACTACAATCTATATTTATACCTTTGTGCCCTTGAGATCTTTAAAAAAATTGCCTAACTCTGCAGTATGGCGTGTAACCTTGTTGCCATATTTATTCTCTGACCTCAGGCTTCAATAAATTTCTACTCTAATACCTGACAGAGATGGGGCCATATGTATGAACAATAAGAAATGATTTCTTCATCTATTATTGACCCCTTACCTTTCACCCAATTTTAAAATTAAATTTACTGAATGATTTTGAAGTTTTCTAGATTGTTGAAAAGAACTTTATGGGTACAAGAAATGGGGCAAAAACAGTTGAATTAAGCAAGATGCAAGTAACAATGAACAAGACCGGGTCACTGGATGGTATTTCAGCACACTGGTGGACATGCAACCTAATACCTGCAACCTGTGTCACATTTATATATATAGTTTTACACTCTACTGGAAAAATAATGTCAAGGAACTTGTAGAGATTCAGAATGCACACTTCATGGTTTATTCAATCACCAGCATGCATGAATCATTTTATGTTATGAATATTTTTTTAAAATTATTCTCACTTTATAGATAAAATTATATCAATTTTTAATATCATAAATGAATATATAGTAGCTTTTGATTAAACAAGTTATAATAATATATCAGCAAATAATGACTGGTCTCTCTGAAATCCATATAGAAAGGTTCAAATTTCACTTCCACTACCACTACTTGATCTGGCAGTTGCATCTGATTGTTTGATTGGATAAATGAAATTTATCTGGTTAGTTAATGGTAGCAATAGCAGCAGTGGAAGTCAAATCTGATCTCTATTATTTTTTGAAGATTTGCTCTAGTCACGTCAATTCAGGGTTGCCCATGCAACTTGGTTAGCACAGCTAGCTCTTCAAGTTGGAGGTCCAATTCTTAGGATTCTGCAAATTAATTCTAGAAAACTGGCTTTGGTTTGGGCTAAGCAAAAATCATCACACTGTTTATCATGCTGATTTGGTTGTTTAACAGTTAAAGTCCAGGCAGCATGTTTTTTTGTCCTGCATATGGCAGATGGGACAGTCTGGTTTTCAAGGCTTTATGTGGGGAATTAATATTAATCAGGACTGGCTTCTGAGTGAAGGTCTTGCCTGCTTTATGTGAGAGCAGGCTCTATGCAAGATTCCAATTGCTACACAGCATGATCTCAGTGCTCTTCCTCTGAAACAATGCTTGATTGCAATATCATCCAGCAAGTGCAAAAATGTACTACCACGGTCAAGGATCATTTGGCATGTTCATCGACTATGTTAACCCATTGAGTGGCGCCATGCACTGTCCCCTGACAAGTAAAATTGTCTGGTGTTAGACAGAGTAAACTAACAAAGTAGGGCACATCTGGATGCATTGGGCCATTCCATTTAATGTATACACCCCCCTATGGACGAGTTCAATAAAATTTGAACCCCTAAGAAAAAAAGATCAAAGTGCTGAAACCCCCCCCAAAAAAATTTTTGCCTTATCCCTCAGAAAAAGTGCAAAGATCAAAGGATGCCGATGCACACAACCCCTCAGAAACGGCTTTTTCAACCCCCTCAGAAATTCTAGTCCATAGATACCACAGCACAACACTTGTACATATACATATACAAGTAATACAACAGCAATCCTTTTATATATTTAATAGTCATATTTACATATTGGTGAAATATCAATGTCCATATATAGGGATGTCCATTGTCCATGAACTTGTCCCTAGTTTGAAGCTAATGTATTCATATCTTTTGTATAAGTTGTCCGTCTACAAACCAACTTTTAGTCATTATACAAGAGTTGAATTTGCATTCATTTGCTTCGCAATTCGCAACAAACTGAACAAAGTACTATTCCATAAACCTGTGCAATGATCGAGCGTCTTTGGCGACATATCCGTGTCTTTTAAACGTCTCATACGAACAAATCTCACTGAGTTTTTTCTACAGAAAGTATTGATCCATTTGATCGATCGCCGTACTTTGAGAGAAGCTTCAAGTGCAAAATCAACAAGAAGATTGAAGAATTTCGGAGATAAAAACTGTTTGTCTTCGAATTTCACCTATTCACCCCCCGGTTGAAAAAAGTAACAATTACGTAATGTTGGAGTCACGTGACCAGCGTTTACCAGGGCTATGTCGCCGCCTTCAATTCGCGACTAGCCCTGGGTACGAGGTTGTAATTATACCTGTCACGTTTTAGGAAGAGTTACTATTTTTAGACTCGTAATTTTGTATTCTTTTGTATTTTAACTTAATCCTAACCCTAAACCTAACCCTATCCCTTACTCTAATCTTAGTCCTAACCCTTTCCGTAATCATAACCTAAAAGTCTAAAAATAGTAACTGCTCCTAAATTGTTAGTCATGTGTATACACATAATATTTCTATACACTTTAGCCAATCAGACAATGGTGGAGTTCCTATTCTTAAGCATGGCGCACATTCTCATTTTACTATCGCCATTGTCGGTTTTGCTTTTGCTCTCTCGTAAACTGGAGCACCAGAGTGGACCGAAAAAACCCTGGGTACGAGGTTGATGTCAACTCAGACTTGGTGATATGAAATTAGAGGTTGTGTTTCTAAATCTTAATCTTTAGAGTGCCCAGGTAGAGGACTCCAGTTTTTGTATCTGCGAAGCAGATATATATGCTATCGCAAACGTGCCGTACCGTACCGTACCGTACCGTATGTTAGCACGTAGCCATTCAGCGACGGGCTTATATAATTTAAGACAATTTAAGCCAATCAGCGATCAGTTTACATCAATTGTTTACATCGTGCCCGCATCTAACCTGCGAACGGGAGGCGTTTGGCCTCGTGTTATTCTTTGCCATTTTCACATTTGGGCTTCGAAAATATCTTGATTTTGTCTTGTTTGCGCTATTTTCCGAAGTTACTATCGACATGGAAACTTATCCTCATCTGGTAAGTAGTCAAATACGACATATTTATTATCTTATTATGTATTTATACAGTAAAACAATCATTTTGTTGTGTAATATTTTAAACAGTCAAAACATAGCAGGCAATATATTTGTCAATGACAATGAACAATGTCACAAGAAACTAATGTTCTCAGGAGATATTGAATTAAATCTTGGTCCTGTATTTCTGTAGTAAACTCTGTTCGATGTTATCAGTTAAAATACTTATACATTTTGGTTTAACAGTGATTAGAGTTTTTAAACTAAATGTTTACAAACATTTTCAAATGCTAATAAAAGAATCCCCACTCTCCCTCCTCATTATATTGTTATTTTGCTTTCTAACATAAACGTTTTTGTTTAGAAATTAATGCAAGAATGATGAATAAATGTACTGGATATTGGCTAGATAATTTTGTCAGAACAACCCACTTGCAAGACAATATTACCTAAATTCATTAGTATGTAACAGCTACAATAATCATATACTAGAAATACATGCATGCAATAACCCCTCGCCTGTTTTCAAAAGATATATACTCAGTGCCGTTGCGAGCACTTGGTCGCAGGGTGTGTGTGTGGTTAGATAGAGGGGGGGGGGGTTACCAAAAAGTTTCCAGATGTATACAAAAAATTTTCAGGACATATGGCCACTCCAAATTAGACTTTAGTTTCCCGTCCTCCGCCCGCGTCTCCTAGAACTGGCCGCATGATTTGTCCATTATTGCGAAGCTGTTTCCATTATTTGACTTTTGTGAGAAACAATTACGAAAAACCACAGTTTTCAAACAATCTATCGTTCAAGAGATACGTATTTATGATACAACACGTAAAAATCGAAATAAAATTCTTGAAACTTTATCAAAGAGCGTGAATTTTTTTCCGTTTTCACTACGAACTGCTGAGCTACACATTTCCGTTACGAGTTCTGATTTTTGAACGTCTAAACCGATAAGGTTAATATCCTGGCTTTCATTTCTGGATACAAAAACTATAAAACATTGCGTAGAAACGTGGCTGAATGGATATTTAAAACGCGTATCTATTTCATGAAATAATGGGTT